GACCTCGCCTTCGTCCGCACGGTCGAGAGCAGGTCGAGTTCACATCCCGCGTGCCTCTTGAGCCGTTTTGGGTGGTCGGAAGCCCAAAAATGCGAGATCTTCCAACTCATGCAAAAACCAAGGAAAAGTCAATGTCTGTTGCTTCCTCGGGCTCGGCTCTCTTAGAGAGCCTCTTGGAGCCCTCTTGGGCCGTCAGGGGAGCCGCTCGAGCTGTCTTGAGGCCGTCTTGGGAGCCTCTTGAGCCGTCTTGGGCCATCTTGGGCCGTCTTGGTGGCATCTTGATTTCCTTGGAAGCCGTCTTGGAGGCCATCTTGCCCGTTTGGAGGCCGAAAAAGCCGCCAGAGAGCAATTTCAGGCAGTGGGGGGAGTTTCAAGAACCCCTCTGCGAGGAGAGGGGGGCGGCACCAGAAAACATAGAAACACCTCTAAGACAACAGCAGAAATTCTGACACGCCCACTCCGTGCGAGCGCTGTGGCGGATCTCTCTGCTTATCTGTATACAAGCATCTCTCTCTCTCTCTCTCCTTCTGTCTCCCTCCCGCCAGCTATGCCTCCCACGGGCAGTGCTCCTGGCCTTCCGCAAGTGGCACGGTTGCCAGTTAGCCGCCACGCAGCCGATCCTCCGCCAGCTGCCGGCCCCTCTGCCCAGAGCGGCAGCCAGAACCACACACACACACACCCCGGTCTCAGGTTGCGGTTGTTCGGAGAACCGCCGCAAGTTCGATTGCGCGCATTGTCTACAGCCAAGTCGCATAGTAAGGATGGGCAGCTTTCCAAGGCTACCCTTGCATCCTTGCGCATTCGGCACATCCTTGGCGACTTTCGCTGGTCAAACCAGTTCGCAATGGCCCTTCAAGGCCCTTCCATCCTTACCGCGCATCCTTGTTATGCGACTTGACTGTAGTGCGTCGGGCAGCAGCTTCTCAGCCAGGAGAGGGCTTTGGCAGAGCAGCGACGAAGTGAAGAAGCGGCGGGCGGGCGAGCGTCCTTGGAAGCTGTATAGCGCCCAGTGAGATGGGCGAGGGGGGATGAATACAGATATCGAAAGATATCGTACCCCTCCCTCGTTTTCGCTTTAGGGGGGCCTCCCAGGGGGCTCCCGTCATCACGGCTGGATTCGCTGCGGTATTCGTGTGAGATTGCACCCGAGGAGAGACCAGGGGAGTATCGATATCGTGACGTGTTTGTTTTGCCCCCCCCGCGTCAGAAATGCCCCAGGGCAACCCCCTGACGCAGCAGGAGGCCCAGCGGGACTTCGAGCAGTTCGCGCGCGCCGTCGGCTTCAGGGGCGACCTGAGGCCTTTGTGGGCAGATGCGCAGGCGGAGTCGTTCTGAAGTTTTGCTGGCCGACTGAATCGGGCAGTCATCTCTGCGTCGCCCTTCAGGTTTCGCTCAGCAGAGACACCCATGACAGTGAGCAGCATGTGTGTTCGATAGCGCTCGCGAGGGGCACGAGGGGAGTGCCACGCTCCAGGGAGACACGAGGTGCCCATGCACAACCGACCTAGACATGTGGACGTCAGCCCCCATGCGAGAGAGCCACGACAGCTCAACTGGGCACGAGCAGCCGAATCGAGAACGTGTGCACCACCCGCACATTTGGGGGACCACGAGGTGGCTGCTGGCCACGGGTGACGGTGTCGACAGTGAGGACACCGACCCACACACGATCACACACGAGGGGGTGAAGACAGACCTTGGTGTCAAAAGGAGAAACGAGTGAGGAATTGGCCACTGGATGCGGGGGAATCACGTCCAAGTGCCTAGTCGCATTAATGGCTCTGTACTAGAGGCCATGGAAAGCCATGAGTTGTGGGCATTCGACTTGCAAGTTGAGACGTCCCGCCCAATTCAACATGGCATTGATGACCCTCCAGTCATTAAGTTGTTCCGAGTCTTTTGGGAGGGCCCCAGCATTCTACAGTGCGAGGCTGGGCGCAAGGCGGTGAGCTTGACGCCCATGATGTGGTTCATACGTAAATCACTGACGCTCCTAGTGCTCCCACCAGCCCATCCCGCATCGATTCCCAGGCAAACAACCTTGAGCACGAGGAAGCGTAGGGACATACAGTGGCACAAAGAGGGGGGTAGCCGTCCCATCACCTGCGCGCTCCCTTCTCGCATCTTCTCGAGTAAGCTGCGTGGGGCGACCGTCGCTGGGGCCGCCTTGGAGCCCCTGGCAGGCCCCTCTGATAGTTTGGAATTCGGTCGGGGTGTCCCGAAGATAGGCCGAATGCTGTCTGGAAGCTACATTGGGCTTTCCATGCGGCAGCCAATCTGGCATGAGGTTAGGTTTGCTAGTGTCACAGAAGCTGGCTGGAAGGCTTGAGGTGTTTCGGGAGGCGGGCCTGCTAGGGACCTGTTATGGATAGACGTGCTGCGTTGAAGTGTATATGTGTCGTTTTTGGAGGTTTGCGGAGCATGCTGAGGGGTAGTGTGGCCATCTTTGGCATGCGTATGATACGATGGCCTGGGCCGGCGTGAATCGCCTTTGGCTGGTGAGTGGTTCTCTTGTAGCCTTGCAGGGACTCTCCATGGGGCGCCGTGAGTTTATGCAAGGGGTGGCAGTGGGTAGTTGTGTGCGGGGGGTCCCATGCGCATTTCTTGAACCTGGGCGAGTGCGTTGAGATTGAAGCATACACCAGCTTGGAACCGACACTGAATGCTTCCACCATGTTATGTGGGGAGCGGCATCTTGCAAGAGACAAATAACTCTCCTCCCAGAGGGCAGCGTACTCCAAAGAGCGGGCGATCTGGCGCAGACCCTGACCTACAGTGCACTGTACGCAGGTCACCACACACTTGATAGCTCGCGCCGCGGGGTGATTTCAGCGATTGGGGCGGAATCGGATCGCATTGTTTCTCCTTCAGCGCAAACAGGTTCTACCGCGCAGTGTCGAGGCGAATGCAAACTGTAGTACGTCCGCAGGCGCAACCAAGGTGAGGCAAATGTTGCTCCATGAGCAAAGCCCACCGCACATATAAGCAAAGCAACCCGACACGCATCTAATGTTTGGCGCCATGGTTTATGGTTTCTGTTTGTCGTCGTTCTCTCCCTGTTCGAACCTGGGGCTGCGAGCGGAACCAGCGTCAGCAGTAGGACGAGCGCGTTGTCAGACCGTCATGGCATGAGCGACTCCGACGCCGCAGCCAGCTGTGGCATTTGTCTCTTTCAAATTGCATCGCACTCCCTCTGATTCCTCTGTCCCGCTGTTCTCCCCAGGCGGTGGCCCTTGGTGCCGAGCCACTTGCATCAGGCCCCCCAGACTTAGCTTTCGTCGACGCCGAGCTGGACTTCCCTGCCAGGTCGGCACCCGTTGCTGAGGACGCGTGGCAGCAGAGGAAGATACCGTTCTGGGCAGCGGTATCGGCAACAGGTGACTCGCCAAGCGGTACAACTATTGATGCACACGTGTCTTGTGCCGCGCAAGAGTTGCATTAGGACGATGACGGAATTCCCAGGACGATGACAACATGCCAGTTTGCGTTGCATGTTAGCCAAGTTCAACCCTGCTTCTCTTCTCGTGCACGTGGCGCGGTCAAGCGCACATCGCGAGACAGCGTGTCTGTGACACCGTTGCCCGGGGATCACGAGTGCCGGGTCGAATGTCGATATGTTCGCACACGTGCCCATATATTTTCTTGTTAGTGCGCATGGGGAGGATCAAGCAGGCGGGTGTTTCCCTACACATCGTTTTCATGCGTCCAATACATGGTTGCCATCAGGTCGGGGTTGTGCCGTCGGGTTTGTGCTGGCAGTCATGCACACAGCAGCCACCTTGCTGGTAGAAAGCCAAGGCGCGTATCAGCCAGATGTGAAGAGATCATGTGAGCAGATGACGTGGTCGCATTGCGTATCCTCTTGGTATACCAACGAGGGTGTTCTGATTGGGTTACCGTCTCCATGCCAATGATTCCTTTCGAACTCGCGCACGGACGTGGACAAAGAAGGGATCGATTACCCATGCTGTCGACCAGAGACCTCCCCAAAGGACGTGCAGCTAGGCAGCTTTCCCACTCCTCCCAGCAGCCACCGCAGGCCGCGATGGGGAATCAAACCCCAGTCGGACGAGAAGGGACGCAGCGGAGGCAGGAGAGGAAGCAGCAGAAAGGACAGAGGAGCTGGTGACAAGGAGGGAGCCCGAGGCAGAGGAAGGAGGCAGTTGGAGAGAATCGTCTCGGCTCAGGCGAATCAAAAGTACCATCATGCGTCTCAAGGCGGCGTCAGTTACATTTGCTGAATTGTGGGTTAAGTGCATTACGCATATTCCCTCCCCCACTCCATGCTCGAAACGAGGACACACGTGGGTACAAAAGAAGGGCATCGCGAAGCCCTAACACCAGATGAGGCGTGAAATTACAGACTTTGCATGCTCCCTTTCATGCTCTCTTCCATCCTCCCTCTTGCTCCCTCCTTCCTCTGCCTTCCTGCTCCCACGTCCACTTTCCTCGTCAACCTCCTCCCACAGCAATCATCCCTTTCGCCCTTCTGGCCTTGGGCGCTCGGGAGAGTGGGGGGATCTGCGATGGCAAAGGTTCCGCACCACAGGAGCAGTAGGAGGAGCAAGATGATGACGAGGAGGAGGGAGGAGGAGGGAGGAGGAGGGAGGAGGAGGAGGAGGAGGAGGAGAGATGAAGAGGAGGAGGAGGAGGAGGAGGTAGGAAGAGCAGCAGCAGCAGCAGCAGGACGAGGGAGGAGGAGCAAGAGGAGGAGGACGGAGGAAGAGGAGGCTGGAGGAGGAGGCAGGGGAAGGCAATCGGGGGGAGGAAGGAGGCGGAAGGAGATCGGGGGAGGAAATGGGAGGACTGGGGAGGAGAACGACAAGGACGAGGAGCAGGGCATCGAAGGAGGAGGAGGAGGAGGAGGGGGAGGAGGAGGAGGAAGAGGATGAGGGAGGAGGAGGAGGAAGAGGAGGAGGGAGGAGGAGGAGGAGGAGGAGGAGGAGGAGGAGGAGGTCGACGAGAAGGAGCAGGAGGAGGAGGCATCCCCGCCATGCCCCGTCGCCCGACAGCCACCGCGCCGCACCCGCCGCGGCGGACGCTGGGCCGGCGTGGCCGGCACCGGCGGCGCCAGAGCCCCCCGCTGTCAAGAAAGGCCCGGCCGGCAGCCCACCAGGCAGCCGCCGGGGTCAGCGCGAAGAGGAGGTCCGCAGGACTTTCTCGGATCGGCGCTGGAGGTGACAAGGATGATGATGAGGATGATGTTGATGATGATGATGATGATGATGATGATGATGATGATGATGATGGTGATGATGGTGCTGATGATGATGATGATGCTGATGCTGATGTTGATGGTGGTGGTGATGATGATGTTGTTGTTGATGATGATGGTGATGGCGATGGTGATGGTGCTGATGATGAGGGTGGTGATGCTGATGGCGATGGTGGTGATGATGATGTTGATGCTGATGCCGGTGCTGATGATGTCGATTGTGTTGATGATGTTGATGATGATGATGATGATGATGATATGATGTTGATGATGCTGATGATGCCGATGATGATGATGACGAGGACGCTGTCGAGGATGATGATGCTGCTGATGATAATGATGCGGGTGATGATGGCGATGATGATGGTGATGGCGATTCTCATGATGATGATGATGATGATAATGCTAATGACAATGATGATGATAATGATGTCGGTGTTCATGGTCATGGTAGTGATGGTGATGATGATGTTGATGATGATGGTGATGATGATTGTAGTGAGGATAATGACGCTGATGTGATGATGATGCTGATGATGATGCTGATGGTGATGATGATACCGATGATGATGCTGATGATGATGATGGTGCCGATGATGATGCTGATGGTTGTGTTGGTGATGATCATGATTCGTTCGGGCCGTCGATGGGCTGTCTTCGCCTCCTGTGAGGCAGTCTCGGGAGTCTATTGAGGCCCTCATAGGGCGTCTTGGGGCCCGCTTACGTGGGCTTGGGGTTTTCTTGAGCCGTCTTGGGGCCCTCTTGGCCGTATGGTGGGTGTCTGGTGGCCGTCGTGGGGCCGTTTTGGCGCCGTCGTGGGCCGTCCAAGGGTCTTCTAAAGCCGTCTTATGTCCCAAGGGAGGCCCTCATGGGCAGTCTTGGGGCCACCTTCGATGCCTCTTGGGCCATCGTGGAGTCCTCGTGGGCCGTCTTGAGCTGACTGCAGCCCGCAGAGGCGAGAATGCGAAATGATTCAAAAACCTATGGGACATTAATAGCTGCTGCTTCTTCGAACCCTGCTGGAGGTCCTCTTGTGGCTCTTTTGTGCCCTCTTGGAAGCAAGTTATTCGGCCGTCTTGGGGCCATCTTGGGCCGTCTCGGGGCATCTTGGGCCATGTTTGTGTTCTTGGTTGCCTGCACGGGCTGTCTTGGAAGTCCGGGACGCAAAGCCATAAGTGTTTTAACAAGGGATCCTGGTTTGGGGGGCCCTGGAACGCTTGGGAGCAGCGCCCGGGATTGCGGGTTTTGCACGATCCTCGAGCGGATGCGCGTGGAATGAGTTGTCCAGGAGGTAGCAGCCATGCGGGCAATGCACCATCCTCGCGCGGGCACGCGTTGAAGAGGTGCTTCAGGCATTGGCCTCCATGCAGGAAGTGCACCATCCTCGAGCGGGCACACATGGAATGAGGGTTCAGGGATCAGCTGCCATGTCGGAAGTGCGAACCCGGAAGTGCACCATCCTATTTCGGGTGCGCTTGGGATGGGCGGTTTAGGCATTAGCTGCCAAGTTGGAAGTGCACGCGTGGAAGGGGGCGTCAGGCATTGGCTGCCATACGGGAAGTATACCATCCTGGAGCGGGCACGCGTGGAAAGGGGGTTCAGGCATTGGCTGCCACGCGGGAAGTGCACCATCCTCGAGCGGGCAGGCGTGGAAGGGGGCTTCAAGCATTAGCTTCCATGTTGGCAGTACACCGTCCTCGAGCGGGCACGCGTGGAATGGGGGGATTCGGTATTTGCTGCCATGTGGGAAGTGCATCATCCTCGAGCGGGCACGGGGGAAGTGGCTCTGCCAGTAGAGGGAGGGGCGGTCCCGTCTTAGAATTCAAACAAAACCCTACCAGACAGATCTTGGCATTCTTCCACGCCTCAACGTACACCGCACTCACATCTATACCCCTGGGTGGGTGTATGTGCGGCCGTTTTTGCGCTGTCATGTGCGCGCATGTGCGCGGCATGTGCCAGTCATGTGCCAGGCCTGTGCGGCCCTTCTTGGATGGACTTCCTACTGTGCACGTCGTGCCCGGGCATGTGCGGGGGCATGTGCGCTGTGTTTTGATGTATCCATCATACGCACATGCACGCACAGTCCGACGCACATGCGCGCACATGCCTGCACATGCGGGAGGTGTTCGAGAATCGCAGATCTGTCATCGGCACATGCACGCACATGCCTGTGCAACCTCTCTTCGGGAGGCCGCGCGGGCCCGCACATGCACGCACATGCGGTGAAGCGCGCGGGCGCACATGCGTGCACATCCCAATGCACATGCACGCTCATGCCCTAGGAGCTGTCTGGGACCCCTGTGCCTCCAATGCCTCCTGGCCTTCGCAGAGCTAACCTGGGGCGTGCCAGGGCTTCCTGAAAGAGTTTGTTGTGCGTTTAGACTCGCCCGCTGCTGGCGGGGGCGGTTCTTCGCCCGGTTCGTGAGCTGGCGGTGGCGTGCCCTCCTAGTAAAACTCTCCCGCGCGCCTTCTCAGCTCGGCCGGAGAAGCAGGGGTGGGGGGGGGGAGGTGGAGGGGGGGGGAAGGAGGGGGGGGCGGAGGAGGCGGACGCCCCCGGCTCGGCCGGCCCGCCCGCCTGTTCGGCTCGGCCAGAGGAGAAGGAGGAGGAGGAGGAGGAGGAGGAGGAGGAGGAGGAGGAGGAGGAGGAGGAGGAGGTGAGAGTTGCGAGGATGTCTCAGGCGAAAGTGGCTTGACGGCCCGAGCTCAGGGAATCTCGGAATCGCTGGCCTGGCTCGGCCACTGGCGAGCTCGGCCTGTGCGAATACTGTGCGTACCTGTGCGGGGCATGTGCGGGACGTGCAACAATGCCGGGGCCGGCGTTCGTCTCCAGGCGCCGGCGCGTTCGCGTCCGGCCGGTTCCGCGTGAGACGTCGTCGGCAATCTGGAGGCCGACATGCTTTGACATGAGGTGATCTGGCCACCTTCGCCTGAGACATCCTCGCAACTCTGGTCTCGGAGATGCCCTGCCCCATGGTGGCCCAGCCACATTCGCTTGAGACATCCTCGGAACTCTGGGTTTCGAGACGCCCTGAGCTGAGGTGGTTAGACCACTTTCGCTTGAGACATCCTCGCAACTCTGACCTCAGAGATCTCCTGCCCCATGCTGGTCAGTCCACTGTCGCCTGAGACATCCTCGCAAGTCTCGATTCCGATATGCCCCGAGCTGAGGTGGTCAGCCACTGTCGCCTGAGACATCCTCGCAACCCTGATCTCAATGATGCCCTGCTCGATAGTGTCTCGGCCCCTTTCGCTTGAGACATCCTCGGAACTCTGGGTTCCGAGACGCCCTGAGCTGAGGTGGTTCGACCACTTTCGCTTTAGACATCCTCGCCCGAGATGCCCTGAGTTGAGGTGTTCAGTCCACTGTCGCCTGAGACATCCTCGCAACTCTGACCTCAATGATGCCCTGCTCCATACTGTGTCGGCCTTTTTCGCCTCAGACCCTCGCAACTCTGGGTTCCGAGATGCCCTGAGCAGGTGGTCGGGCCTTTCCTGCCTGAGACATCCTCGCAACTCTGGGTTCCGAGACGCCCTGGGCTGAGGTGGTCAGACCACTCTCGCCAGAGACATCCTCGCAACTCTGACCTCAGAGATCTCTTTCGCCTGAGACATCCTCACAACTCAGACCTCGGAGGTGTCCTGCCCCATGGTCGTCTGGTCACCTTGACCAGCGACATCCTCGCCACTGGTTTCCAAGATGCCCTGCCCCATGGTGGTCCGGCCACGCTTGCCTGAGACATCCTCGCAACTCTGGGTTGCGAAATGCCCCGAGCTCAGGTGGTCAGGCCACTATCGCCTGCGACATCTCTGCGGCATGTGCGGGCATGTGCGTCTATGCTTTCAGAGTTTTGCTTGACCGTGCATTCGACTGTGCGTCGGACGGTGTGACATGTGCGCGCATGTGCGGCAATGCTGTTGAGGCTTTTGTACATGTGCATGGGCATGTGCATGCGACTGTGCGGCATGTGCCTGCATGTGCGGCCCCTTCCGGACCACAATTTCAAAGTGAGCACTATAGAAGTGAGCGCTATAGAAATGAGTCCGGTGTACCAGCGGGCACGGTGGCGGATATCATCCGTCGTTCCCTTAGAAGGGGGGCGATTGGGAGGTGGGGGCGTAGGACATCTGCTGCATGCAGCTGGTTTCGGCCCCGCCGCCCGCCGCCGTCTCTCGATACATTTGTGCCCGGAAAACCGGCTACCTGAGCTGATTCGGTATTCGACCTCCCTCTTGATTGGACTTCCTTTTGTCCAACCCCGTCCTGAAAACCCAGTTGTGCGACGATACGGCATTCTCGATCCCGACGTTCTTCCTCGATTTCTGCCCATGGGAGGTTGTTTAATTTTGGGCCTCCCTGGTCCCTCGCCAGGCCCCGGGACCGTCAAAAAACAGCGCGGGGAAAACAATTGTTCCAGGGAAGGGGTCAGGTCCGGACCTTAGACGCAAGAGCTTGCAGCCGAGGCCCAGCGGGCAGCGCTCGGGCAAGATGTATATCCATATCCACTGCGCCTCGGCCTTTTGGCGCCCCTTCCCAGAAAGTCCACGACGCAGTGGACGTGGGCAGGAATCTCAGCTGCGGCAGCTGGCCGAGCAGCTGCGTGGGGGGGCGGGGGGAACCAATTGGAGTGGGCGGTGGGGGGGGCGGGCAGCGGGTGGAGGGAGGTCCACGCCCAGCTCGCTCATGTGGGATCGCCCACCGGCCCTGCCGAGGGCGCGGGCCACTTTTCAGCGCCTGCCTCGCGAGGAGACTCGTGGGGTGCCCTCGCTCGCGCGCGGGGTGCAGGGATGGGAAGGGGGGGGAGGCAGGGACTTGTTCCCCAGAGAGTGCTTTGACTTAGGATGTCTCATTTGGTCTGAGTGTGACTGGGGCTGGATGTCGGTCAGGCTGGCTTGTTGTC